GATCAGGGATCACCCTGATCTCTGGGGGTAGTTCATTCCAGAGGGTGGGAGCTCCCACAGAGAAGGCCCTCCCCCTTGGGGTCGCCAGCCGGCACTGTCTGGCCGACGGCACCCTGAGGAGACCCACTCTGTGGGAGCGTACAGGCCGATGGGAGGTAATCTGCGGCAGGAGGCGGTCTCGAAGATATCCAGGTCCGATAGTCATGGAAACAGAAACTAACACTATTGTGATTTGTAAAATATGTTCCATGTATATACATATGTCCATGGAATATGTACCAAATATAAACTAGTTGAATTACTGGAAGAAAAAAGCAACTCAACTCACTTTGAAACTAAACTTACAAAATGAGAAACTCCAAATTGAACACAATAAGCAGTAAACAATTTGTAAAAGAAATGACCCTTTATATGAGGAGGACCAATGGAAACATGTCACTCACAGGAAAAATAACAGCAACCAAAATCAATGCTCCTGCTGCTCCCTAATCCAGTCCACTCCACTTCAGTGCAATTCCAGTGGAACTGAGTTATCAATTTCATATCCTACATCTGGAAGACAACATGCAACCAGTTATAAAAGAGGTATCACCAAGTGCCCCTAAATATGGCCTTAGAAGGCATCATCAAGTGCTCCTCTGAAAGTAAAGTAGCCCAAACTTCCCTAGGAAAAAAAAGGCAAGTGTTAGTGATTGGAGATTCAATTCTTAAGGAAACAGAACCGGCACTCTGCAGACCGGACATTCAATCTAGGGAAATATTTTGCCTTCCTGGAGCAAAAATTAAAAATGTAGCCAAAAGCCTTGCTAAAATAATCAAGCACACAGATTACTACCCCCTTCTCCTCCTTCACGTAGAGATGAACGACACGACAATGAACCTAAAAACAATATTGATTATGAACAGCTAAGCAAGAAAGTTAAGGAGTTAGGAGCACAAGTGGTGTTTTCATTTTTATTCCAACGATAGATCAACATCCAAAGAGAGAACAAAGGATTTTAGAAATGAGGCACTGGCTCAAGGATTGGTACCACCAAAGGAACTTTGGATTCCTAGACCATGATCTGCATTACCTATATGAAGGGCTTCTGACAAGGGATGGGCTGCATTTCACAAGAACTGGGAAGAATTACTTTGGAAAACGACTGGCTCAACTTATCAGGAGGGCTTTAAACTAAAAATGAGGGGGGAGGGTGATCAATCTTTAGAATCTCTAGGACAGTCTTTAGGTTCTTTGGGACTTAATTCCAAATATAAACCCTAACATAACCAACCACATAATGAGGAAGAAACGCTCAAAGTTTAAGGAATAAACTGGGTGAACTTGAAGTACTAGCACATGAAGGCAGAATTGATATAGTTGCCATTACTGAAACTTGGTGGGATGAAACTCATGACTGGAATGTACTGATAAAAGGATACGAAATATTCAAAAGAAACAGACCTAACAAAAGACGAAGTGGAGTTGCATCAGTACATCTCTACAAAAATGAACAAAACTGGCTTCCGGTTTTGACGTTGTGATGATGCAGATGCAGGAAGATGGGGCTCCGTCTTTCGAATTTGATTTTGCCCTGCTGGAGGACCCTGGAAAGGGTCAAAAGTCGCCCCGTAGAGGTGGCAAGCAAGGAGGGGACTCTCGTTGATTGCAGGGGGTGGCAGCCCTCCCATTTGATCCAAGGAGCCCTCCAAACCAGTGGGGGAATGCTGGCTGTATTCATGTAGCCAATCTAAAACTGCTGACAACAGAAGACAACAAGCACTACCAAGCAACTTTACAGCAACGTACATGAAACTGGGTGAGACCTGATCCTCTCTTTATGATTTTAAGACCTCTTCCTGAAAATCTGCCCAAAGCACTCCCCACCACCACCGATGAAAGAGGGAAAGGGAATTTCCACCCCATTCCCTCAGAAAAGAAAAGCAGCAAATTAATTACTTGGGGAAAATGGCAAAACCTATAAGACTAATTTGGAATTAATATATACATACAGCTTAAAAATTTGGGGACTAAAAGTGTTTTTAAGACCTTTTTAAAAAAAAAAAGACTTGAAAAGTTTACAATATAAGTTTTGGATCTAAAAACTGGAAAGTGGCGTTGATGACATCTAGTGGTGAATTACAGCACTACAACTTATTTATCTCTAAAAGAAACCTGGCTCGAAGCCCAGAACTAGATAAGACTTTGGCTGGCCTTGGGAAGCTTTCACTATTGAGAATTGCAGCTGAGAAAAAAGTTACAGGCTTGGGGGCTGCTTATCTTTGTAGCAGAGGCAATAACAAATATTCTAAATTTGGTCTGTCAGAGTTTTGAACATAAATACTGACTTTCAGAACTGTATTGTGGATTTATTTTCTTATAGAAGAAACATATGGAACACTTTGGATTATAAATCTTAATTGTTAAACAGCCCTCAATGGTTCTTTTTTCTCCCTGGACAGAAAGGATATATTTCTTACTGGATAGAAAAATTTGAATTTTACTTATATCTGCTTAGGGGAGATTCAGGAATGGACAGTTGGTTGGATAAATGTATAAAGGTTACTTACAAAAAAAATAAAATGGATGCTTCAGATTCAGCTTTAAATAGTAAAACACCATTTTTAACATCTGTTCCCAGTAGTCTTATCTTGCCATATCACCAAGAAAATACAGATGAACCATAGAAAGAAATTTTCTCCATGTTGAAATTAATACAAAAAACAATTTTTGCTTTAGCTTGTGATCAGGTTAAAAATAACACAAAGGAGATAAAAGAACAATTTTCTAATTTAAATCTACAAATTCAGAAAACTACAGAGAAGGAACCAGCAACCCCAAAAATAGAAGGAAAATTAGAGAATGCTGACACAAACATTGACGATCTAAAGGAAGAAACTAATGACCAGACTCAGATAAATGAAAACTCAGAGGACACAACGATAGTATTGGAAATGGAAAAGACATTTTACATACCAAGGTTCAGGACATACTGGATGTCAAGGAAGGAGAGCTGATGGAATGGAAGATAAAGCTGTTAACAGAACT